TTTCTGACTATTTGTAATAAATTTGTATCTGATAATTAATAATAAGAAATTACTGACTTTAAATAGAATAATAATAAATATAACCTCAGGCGATTTCTTCATCAAGCCAAATTTTTAAAAATAAAGATATATTCAAAATTTATTATTACTTGATTAAGAAATCTACCTGTCACGAAGCATCTTCTTGCACGTAATATTTCATATTTTTAGTACGATGAAAATAAAATTGTTTTACGTTTCAAATCGAATTTAAATTAAATAATTAAATATCGGACGAGAAAATAAAGTTAAAACTCTCGTTTATTATAATATTATTATAACGATAATGTATACTATTATTACATACTTTTATTGTAACGAAATCGGAGGACATCCGATTTCTTCACTAAAACGAGATTTAATTTATTCCAATATTCATTTTTATACGTAAATGTATAAGTATTATAAATGTTATAATTATTACAAAAATTATTTTCAACCATATATAATCAAAATAATTATTTATATCATTCATATTGATAATTATATTATATTATATTATATCAAAATAATTTATAAATAATTTATAAATAATATAAAGTTAACTCTCAGTATCATTTTATTAAAAACGCGACGTGCAAGAAGTCCTATCCTAATCTGATAAATAAAACACAAGAAAAGAATTGTTACTATTCACGGGTACAATAAATACCCGCGGTCACTGTGCTCGTGCAAAAATCTACGTATACAACCAATTACCCGTGTCGATTCGGACCTTTCATCCTACGACATGATTGAGTAATCGGAGGAACATAAATGCATGCGACTCACCAATCGATGCGAAGATTCTGCATTATCACCATCAGGATCTATGGGTTGTCGATCGTCAAAGGAGGAAGTGAAAACTATTGTGGAAGACCATAATTTAAACACTGTATCGGTTACTTGAAAATGTTGAAATATACAAAAATAATTACCTCTTCGCGTGAAGGATGACTGCCTTATTCTCTTCCGAAACACTGACTCTATCCTGTACCGAAATCGAATATTTAAAAAAAAAATAAAAATAAAAAACTACTAACGCGTCCGTCTAATTTACGATCGACGAACAAGCACTGATTCTAATTTCGCGATTATAAATTTAACTATTTTAATTAAGTAAATAAATTTAACTAGAACACATTTTGTGCTCTAAAATATTAAAAAACTGTTACGCAACAACACTGATTCTAAAGATCGCATTGCGCGCGATCACAATTTTGTTTAAAAATTGAAATCCAAGAGAAAATTTTCCCCAAGATTTTCAGACACCTTAAACAAAATATAAATTATCAGATGTAATTTTTTTTTCATAGGAATATAATTTTGATGATTAAGAAATTTTGAAGAAATAAAAATGGAAATTCCATTAAATTCTAAACGTGAATAAAAATAAAGATTGAGGACTCAGGTAATAAATAAAAATCTAACTAATAATGAAACTAAAATCCATTTTATGTCGATAGAAAAATAAAAATTTTAATTTTTTAAAAACTAAATATTGTTTTTAATTGTCCATTCATAAATTAAAGCAAAAATACCAATAAACGAAATTGAAGAAAAAAAATATGCAAAGATAATTACCTCTTCGCGTGATGGATGATCGCCTATTTTTCTTCAGAAGCACTGATTCTATTCTGTACCGAAAACGATTGTTTAAAAAAAAATAAAAATAATAAACTATTAACGCGTCCGTCTAATTTACAATCGGCGAACAAACACTGATTCTAATTTCGCGAATATAATAAGTAACTATTTAATTAAAGCTATTAAGCTTCGAAAATAATAAAAAACTGTTACGGAACAAACACTGAGTCTATCGACCGCATTGCACGCGATCGCAAAAATTCTGAAAATAAAACTGTATTAATAATGGGAGGATTTACAAAAAAAAAAAAAAAAGAACGAAATATTCTTTTTATATTTTTCTTCTTCTTTCTATCGAACATTTGTTTCAGAAAATATTATCATTTTTTATAATTATGATTATTACAAATTTTAAAAAATAAAAAAAATTCATTAGAAGACAGAATATTTTTTATATAGAATATATTTAATATATTTTCGAACCATTATTAAACAAAAATATTAATATTCATGGTGATTGTTCATTTGTGAAGAAATATAAATATATTTTTTTCAAGTGATAAAGTATATTACGTAAAAACGATGGAATAAAAGTAAAATATATACATACAATCCAAATGCGAAAGATCAAATTTCTGTTTGAAAAAGTACGTTGGCGTTGGCGGCCATATTGGAACTTTTCCCGCCTTTTTTCCTCGGATCAGTAAGCAGATAATAATCTGTACAAAGAAAAATAAAATTTGTCGCAATAATAATAATATAATAAACGTACAAAATTTATTAAATTAATCGATCACATTAAAATAAAACAATAATCAGATATAAAATTCGTCTTATATAGTCATAAGTGAAATAGCTAAAACTGCAAATAATTTGCGAACGGAAAACGAATGATCTTAGAAAGATTATCAAATGTAGCAATAAATACGTACTGATTAAATAGTAATATATAACTATGGAAGAAAATACGTATTACACAGATAAAAAATTACACGTATCAAAGAGGAATGGCACTTCTAATCACTACGAATCACTACGAAAGTATAATGGCGGGACGCGACGTAATTTCGATTCGCGAATCGCGAATTGGAGAGGGGAGGTGTTCGCCAACGAGTCGAAACATGTCGAATATGATACGAACGCAACACCGGAATTTCTTTTCGAATTTTTTAAAAAAATTATGTTATGAAAATAATGTGTTAGATATCTCGAGCATAACACTGGACGAAAAATATATAAACATTACAAATGACGCAATTTGGAAACGCAATACGTATCACTGATATAATTTAATTTGATAAAATAAAATTGATTTTCTTTAATGTTTCTTTTGATATAGATAAAAAAAACTATAGAAATCTATTTTCAGTAAGTCTTTATTGGAACAAATAAAAAATGAATGTTATCTGAAAATCTACGTAACACGTGTATACCATAAATCGTACTTCGAAATTATTCCGACAATCCAATTAAAAATTAAGTAAAAATATAGATATAGTAAAAATTGTAAATTGATGATTAGAAAAAGTATATTAAGATGAAGCAATATTTCTATTCAAATTTCGACTCAACGAAGTACGAATTACCGGTAGCCTCGATCATAAGATGAAAAAAAAATTCGAAATGCTAATTAATTACCTCGATACAATGGATATTAGAAAAAATATAATGGATTATTAAATAAAGCGACAGTAAATTATAAATTCGGTAGCAAAATATGAATAGAATTACTTACTGCGTCACTGAAGCCGGTTACAAATATACGTCCTACCACTATGACTTTCCACAAGAAACTGACGCCGCGCACCAGTATTTACTTAGCGGCTCTCTGATTGGTTGGCGTCGTAAGCCAACTTTACAATCGAAATCATATGTATCGAAGTATTAAATAATATATTTTAATTATTTTAATTATTAAAAATATTTTAATAATAAATTATTGATTTATTTATGTATTAATTTTTAATTTTTAATAATTATTTATTTAATTTTTATATTTATGTATTCTGTTATTAATTTATTTATTTATTAAATAACTCATCAATTATCGATTTATCGATTATTTATCGATCATTTGTCTAACTTTTTTTTTGTATAGTTTTTTATAGATTTTTCATTTTGCACTTGTGTTTGCATTAATTTATTTATTTATTTATACACTTTTTCATATGAAAGAATGAATAAACAAATAAATAAATTGATACATACTTAAATGAATAAAGTATGAAATCTCAAATAATAAAAAACTCCTTAAAGAAATAACTATATAAATAAATTAATAATAAATCGATAAATAAATAAATATCTATTGTTAATATTAATTAATATTGATTTATCATTATTTCAAATAAATGCTATAAAGTATTGTTATGTAAATATATTATTTATGAATAGTAAATTGCATATTTTACAAAAGTAATTTACTTTTTAAATGGATATATTGTGACAAATTTGAAATTTGAACTAAATTTTTAAAAATCTGGAATCTTGTTTGTTTAATATTAATTTGAAATGAAAATTCAACATTATTATAATTATTACAAATTATTTTAAAAATATTATTTATATAAAATTTCAAAATACAATATAAATATCATACAATAATTATTTTTTATATGGCCAAAAATCTTGAATTAATTATTGTATTTTTATTATTGTATTATTATTATTAAATATATAAAATAAAAATTTAAAAAATCTAACAACTGTTAAATTATTTATTATGAATCTATTATTATAATCACAGTTGTACAGTTGTAAAATGGCAGTTTTTTAGTTATAAATAAAAAATTATTAACATAAAACAATAATTAATTTTTCTTTATAAATAAAGAATTATATAATTATATAATTATATAATATAATTAAATTATTACATTTAATGTCGAAATTTTTGTACATAATTTATACAAATAAATTAAATTTTAATAACAGAAAATATTTTTCAATTATATTTTTAGAATTATTCTTAGAATTTATTCTAAATTAATATTTAATTTTTATTTAAATTAATATAATATTCCTGTCATATCATATATTATTTGCTTATAAATTACATATTATTTACTTAATAAATATTTATTTATATATTTATATATTTATTTTTTAATTTATTTTTTAATTCACATTTTTTACTCATTCATTTATTCCTTTATGTATTTATTTCTACATTTACTTTTTCATTTATTTTTTAATTCATAATTTCACTTATTTATTCATTCATTTGTTCCTTCATCTATTAATTTTTACATTTTTTTTTAATTTATTTTTTTAATTCATTTAATTATTTGTTTCTACATTTACTTTTTGATTATTCTTTAATCCATATTTTGTTTACTCATTTATTATTTATTCCTTTATCTATTTTTACATTTACTTTTTGATTAATTTTTAATTTATTTTTTTTAATTTATATTTTCACTTGTTTATTCATTCGTTTCTTTCTTTATTTATTTATTTATTTCTACATTTTCTTTTTGATTTATTTTTCAATTCATTTATTTATTTATTCATTTATTTATTTATATATTTATCTATTAATTTATTTTTCTATAATATTCATATTCTATAACATTTAATAATTTTTCTATAATTGTTTTTTATAATATATTCTGTATTATTCTAATTAAATAAATAATCTAAATAAATTTTAATTCTTATTATATATGATAATTGTTATTCTTTATGATAAGAAGATTTCAATGTAGTCATTTTATTGTTGATGAAATCTAATAATTGGCATTAGTTTTATATTTTGATTATTATAGTTTGATAAAAATATATTACAGGAATTTGTTATATTGCAAATTTTACATTAAAAATTGTATATTAAAAATGTTATATTAAAAATGTTATGTTAAAATTAAATTATTAGAATTAAATTAGAGATATTAGTTTTTGAAAACTAATGCCAAGCTAAGAACTACATTTCTTTTTTATATTTTAAATTCTTTTACTTTATGCATATTATATATTTTTCATATTTATATTGTTCAATTATTTTTAGAATTTTGATTATTTTAGAAGAAATTTTGAATATTTATAACTTATGATACATAAGTTATTGTTATTAAAATAACAAATAATTATAATAAATTTTTTCAAATTAGAAATTCATAAATATCTCTGAATATTAATTAAAATATTTTATTATTCACAGAATTTTTTTAAACATGTTTGAAAAGAAAAAGAAAAAAAAGAAAAATATCAAAAAATATTTTACTTTTTTTTCTATTCCATTCTTTCCTATTAATGAATTTTTATTTTCTATAAAATTTTATAACTGCATATAATACAGTATTTGTTTTTATAAAATTTTTTTTAAATTTAATAAATATCACAAAATTAGATTCAATATTTGTTCGCCAAATATAAATTTATAATATTTTTTCTTTAAATTTTTTTTTTAAATTTATTTATTTTGTGTATTATATTAGAATTACTGTTTTTCTCAAGAGAACAAAACGATTTCTATTTCCTTCTATATAATGATAGCTTTCACAATGATTTTCTAGTGAGTTATAACTGCATCAATTGTAACATTCTTTGTATCTAATAATGAGTCTCATTTGATATAAATTAATTGGTTGTATATATAGATTTTTATATAATAACAAATATTTATTATACCAGTAACATTTTCTATATTTTATTTATTAGCTCAGGCCAAATCTTCTTGCACCAAATATTTTCTAAATATTGATAATATAACAAAAATTTTCTTGTATTTTTAACAATAATATTTTTATATTAATTATATGATTTTATCAAATTAGAATTTTTAAATTTTAATATTTTATATATTATAATTATTTATTATAATCATCAATTAAAAGATGAATTCAAAACTTTAAAAATAAGAATCAAAATGATTATGGACAGGAAGAATGCAAAACATCCTTAATAGATCTCATCATTCAATTTTGTGCTCCATCATCTGTAAATTAATATATATAATATTTTAATATTTGGTAATGAATTAAATGTAATATATATAATATATAATAAATTCAAACAAAAAGCTCAATTAATACAAATTAAATTGGTTCGTTAAATTAGTTTTTTTTTATCAATTTATCATACATTTTTTTCTTTTTAGAATCATTTCAAAAAATCTAATATAAAATAATTTATAAATTTCGATTTTTATATAATATAATTCTATATATTTTAATATTAATCTAATATAATTCTATATATTTAATAAAATTAATTATTAATTATAATTAAAATTATATTAAAATTAATTATAATTCTACATATTTAATAAAATACTAAAATTTTTTCTTTTATCATTTATATTAAATTTGTTATTTTTTGCTTTGAAATGAAAAAAATATTAGAATAAATTCGTTCGCA